AGGACTTGATTGATTAAAAAATACAAATGACATAAAATGATATATAAAAATAATGATTCACAGATACACTGTTGGTGTGTTGAAAAAATTACAGTACACTGTCATTGCAATAAAGAAAAAGACTATTCACACACATACTGTATGGACGTGTGTGTGTGTTACATTATGTCTCTATCATGTATATTTACTGTATAATGGACTTATGGTGAACAGTAGCCTATAGACCATTTCACAAGAAGTAAACAACACTGGTCCAGAAGCACTTCCTGTTTCAGTTTTTTAACACTACATAAAACCTGGGATAAAATACAACCAACAGAACATTTAAAACTGAATCAAAAAGTTAAACAAACATCTTTAAGATGTTTTCTTTACATGTGAAATAAAGAAAACAGTTACAAACTGAAACAGGAAGTGTTTCTGGACCAGTGTTGTTTACATCTTGCAAAATGGTCTTGAACACTGACTGATCACATACCTGTTCTGTCAACAAACGCTTGAATGATTGAGGACACACACGTTGTTCTCATGGCTCACCTTTAAACCCGTCTCAGCCATGAGGTCATAACAGAACATGATCTACAAAAGTGTCCATTATTTCTTCAGAAATCTACAGCCTTCCTCTGTTTTACCTCTGTATCCACCACACATATCCTCTTCTTCTCTTCAGCTGTTTCCCCTGTTGTTCTTCTGTTCTCAGAGTGTGTGACGTTTTGTGCTCTGTCTATATGCCAGGGTAAGATCATGAGATGCACTCTGAGCGATTATAGAGAACTGTTGATCATTGATTGATCTAATGCTTTACATTCCCCTTCATTAGTGAAATTCAGAATTCACATCTGCAATTCAACAATTGGCTTTTATGCACAGCTGCACTACTTCCTGAACTTCAGCCAGCTCCTTGTTTCCTGTCTGCCATTATTGGACAAATTAAGTGATTAATTCAGGTGTGCCTGACCTTAGTAGTCACAACAACAATAATCAGACACACCTGAATCAATCAATTTGTCCAATAATGGCAGACAGGAAACAAGGAGCTGGCTGAAGTTCAGGAAGTAGTGCAGCTGTGCAGAAAGCCAATTCAGGACAAAAAAAAGTCTAATAGAATTGTATAGAAAATATGTTTGACAGTTTATGACAACTGGTTTTGCATTTAATGACGTATGCATTAAATGCACTTATCATTCTGCATTTAATGACTTATGGAACTAATGCCTAGGCTATATGTTTTGAGGGGTCAGTGTGTCAGTGTGATGTTTTGAGACTAACAGAGAACCAGTATAATACATATTGATAAGTATGACATAAGCAATTAATAATGTAAGAAACAGCAGACACTTGTATATACCAAAGCATTTGCAATCTCTTCAAAAGAATGATAAACTGCTTTTATGATGAGCATAAGTGACTAGATGATGATGTCTAAAACAAGAATTTTAGTTGTGATCTGAGAAATGCACCAAATAAGCGACTGAAAAAAACGTTAGTATTATAATAATATAATATAATTAAAATGTTTGCTGTAACTGCTTTCCTCTACATATAATATAAAATAATATATAAAATAATAGAATAGAATACAATATATACTATAAAGAAAATGTTTACTATAACTGCTCTCCTAGATATATAATATAAAATAATAGAATGTCTAATATAATATAATGTTTGCTGTAACTGCTCTCCTCTCTATAATATAATATAATATAAAGAGAATGTTTGCTGTAACTGCTCTCCTCTATATAATATAATATAATATAATATAATATAATATAATATAATATAATATAATATAAAGAGAAATGTTTGCTGTAAGTGAATGTGTTGCTGTGGTAACGGACTCCTGCACGTGCGGTGGGTGGGGGCGGGGCGGCGTCCGCTCCGGGAAGGAAGTCACTGATAAATGAGTGCGTGAGAGGGAACGGCAGAAGGCAAAGTAGGAGAAAACACTTTTTTTTGTAAATCACTCATAAAAGCAAGCGATTAAGCATGTTTTCACATCTTTTTGTGGCTTGTGTGTCTTTATTAAATAAACTCGGATGTAAATCATCACACACATTTTGACAGATTTAATCAGTTGTTCCTCCGTTTTTGGAATAAAAATGTAACGTACTTTTAAATTCACATGACGTAATGTGTATGTCCCGTCCCCGCTTCAAACTCGTTCCTGCATGATTAATAAACTTCTATGCAAGTTACTGTCTCTGTGTAGTCTCGGTGACGCGCAGCAGCGCGATCTTCACATACACATAGAGCAGACTCTGATGCGTGAGCAAAACTGCGAGGATTAAAGTTTAAAAACATGCTCATATACATCATGAAAGCTCCTGGGTAAATTATTAAATGTTTATTTAAATAATAATTATTGGCAATTTATTTATAATTGAATGTGGATTCTCTGTTTATCTATTTATAATAATGATTTTTTTTTTGCCTCCGCCATCTTTGTTGATGACGTAATGATCTCTGATTGGTCAGATCATCCGTTCCCGCTCTCAGAGTGGCTTTCTGCGCTCTGATTGGTCAGAATTCCCGAAGTGTGTATCTTTTCCGGAAGTGCAGTACTCCTAGAGGGCGCTGTGTTATACACACTTAGTGGGGGGGGATACACACTTCACATACACAAATCACTTAAAAGTGATTTTTTTGGACAAGTGAGATTTTAAGTCTGGACACCATTTTAGAGCATGCTGAATGCCATTATATAGTCAAACAAATGAGGACATAGAAAATGTCCCCAATTTTTGAAGTGGTCCTCAGTTTACTGGTGTGTATTCTGGTGAATGTACCCAAAAGGGACATAAACAAACACACACACACACACACACACACACACACACATATATATATATATATATATACACAGTGGGTACGGAAAGTATTCAGACCCCCTTAAATTTTTCACTCTTTGTTATATTGCAGCCATTTGCTAAAATCATTTAAGTTCGGTTTTTTCCCCTCATTATTGTACACACAGCATCCCATATTGACAGAAAAACACAGAATTGTTGACATTTCTGCACATTTATTAAAAACGAAAAACTGAAATATCACATGGTCCTAAGTATTCAGACCCTTTGCTGTGACACTCATATATTTAACTCAGATGCTGTCTATTTCTTCTGATCATCCTTGAGATGGTTCTACACCTTCCTTTCAGTCCAGCTGTGTTTGATTATGCTGACTGGACTTGATTAGGAAAGCCACACACCTGTATATATAAAACCTTACAGCTCACAGTGCATGTCAGAGCAAATGAGAATCATGAGGTCAAAGGAACTGCCCGAAGAGCTCAGAGACAGAATTGTGGCAAGGCACAGATCTGGCCAAGGTTACAAAAAAATATCTTTTGCACTTAAAGGGATAGTTCACTTTGAAATTAATTTTTGATATGTTTTAGCTTACCTCAAGGGCATCCAAGATGTAGGTGTCTTTGTTTCCACAGTATTTTCAATTTTGACATTTTTCAGTCAAACCGTTGTTGTCTGTCAGTCATACACTGGAGGCTAATGGGGGTCCACCAAAAAGCATGCACAGAGAAGTCAAAATTAAACATGATTTAATGACTCGTAAATGTAAGTACACATTGATGGCCTAAGACACGAAACGAGCGGGTTTTTGTGAGAAAACGAAGAGTATTTATATCGTTTTTACCTCGTGTAATCCAAGTGATCTGAATCAGTTGTTCAATGTCCAACTGAACCGAACTGAATCAGTTCAATGTTACGCAGGAAGTGATCGCTTGCGTGTGACGTCACTCAATATTTACGCAGAGATTTCGTAAGTTTTACCTTTTACTAAACATATTTAGATATACCGAAATCGTCTTCCATTGCGGTTTCCCGTATATCTAAGTATGTTTAGTGAAAGGTAAAACTTCCGAAATCTCTGTATAAACAAAGAGTGACGTAGGCGCGCAAGCGATCACTTCAAACGCATGCGCAGACCGAAGCGCCCGTGCCGTCAGATCATTTTGTCATGGCTATGATTACAAGAGGTAAAACGATAATATATAAAACGATAAAACGATAAATACTATTCGTTTTCTCACACAAACCACTCGTTTCGTGTCTTAGGCCATCAATGTGTGCTTACATGTGCGAGTCATTAAATCATGTTTAATTTTGACTTCTAAGTGCATGCTCTTTGAGGTGAACCGATTGAGTACCCCCTTCACCTCCAGTGTATGACTGACAGACAACAACGGTTTGACCAAAAAATGTCAAAATTGGATCTTGGATCCCCTTGAGGTAAGCTAAAACATATCAAAAATTAATTTCAGAAGTGAACTATCACTTTAAGGGTCCTAATAGCATGGTGGCAGTGGAAGTTGTGTCAGCGCATTTCCAGAGAAAATAAAATCAACCCATTGTTTCTTCAGAGGCTCGGATGAACTAAAAAATACTGTTGTGTTCATTTGTACATTTGAACGCTGATCAACTGCTTTGCTTGTTTGCAAGCCATTATATCTCTCGAGGAGAAACTTAAATCGCGCTTGCGGCGTTCGTACATCCTAGCTCATTTTCTCATGGGTGAGCCACATTCTCTGGGTGGGCAAAGCAGAGAAAGGGGAGCTTATCTTTCACCGTATGACGTCACACGAAGGACATTCAACATCAACATCATATCTGCTGTAACTTAATGTGCATATATATACTGTATATATATATATATATATATATATATATATATATATATGAATATTTATGAATTGCTAATATATCTGTATAATATAGTATGTTATACTTTTTACAGTGTCTTATTCTATTTTGGAGTGACAATCATAAAATTGATTTATTATGGACTTATTTCTCTGCTGGTGCCTTTGACGTCACAACTCAGGATAGTAGTTAGTTAAAGTTTTTGTGGTGATATCCAATCAGCAATATCATGTTGTTATTTTTCTGTGGCTCCTTAGTGATTGGTCTCATGTTATAGATTTCTCCAGGTCATATAGTCTATGTAGTATTTGTACACATCTCTCTCTCTCTCTCTCTCTGTTTCTCTCTCTCTCTTTCTTTCATGCAGAGGCCAGTGCTAAGACGAGGGATGGTGTTCAATGTGCATTTGAGGAGCTGGTGGAGAAAATCCTGCAGACTCCTGGCTTGTGGGAGAGCGTGCACAAGACAAGAGGAGTTGCCCTGTCTGAACTCTCTCAAACGTCTCAAGGAGGCTGTGGGGGATATTGCTCACTTCTCTAACCCACAAACTGATGTCTAAATAGTGCAGGTTAGATTAGTTAACACACACACACACACACACGCAAAGTTGTCATAAGAAAATCATAAGTCATATCACAAGCTTAAAGCATTGATCATTTAACAGAGCGACATACAAGGATGCTGGCTGGAAAACTTTATATGCCTTAGAGGGTTCTTTGCCTTTTTTTCTTTTTTTTTTAGGGATGACATTTATTTAAAGAACTCTATTGATGGCATGCTCATCGTTTGTATCCAGGAGGGGGATAAAAAAGCTTGATTACTCCATTATACCTCAGATCAGTTTGCTTTTTGGTTTGTATATTTTTCGTAATGTTTTACTTTGTTTTGTCCCAGTGCCTGTGTTTCTTATTTAGTGAGAGGTAAACACTCATCAGTCTAACTCGACCTTTCAAACTGCTGGAATGAGACCTCAGTAGAACACAGATTTCCATCAGCATCTCCTTGATGTCTGCAACATGCGGAACACCATTCTGTCTTTATCTGTCTATCTTTGCATCCCACTTTTTCCTACTGTCAGTCACTTGTTAACTCTCTTTCCTCTCTCTTGGTACACGTATCTGTCTTCAATTCAGTTCTATCTCTGTTTCTCCACGTCCCTCGATCTATATAGAATAATAGAGTTACCAAGGTTTTGGATCTGTATTTTACTACTTTTATTGATTTGGACTGCCCACTTAAAAATGTGTTTTTGAAGGGTTTATTAATCAAAGAGATTGGCAGAATAAATCTCTATTACACACATAAAAATAGGGTTAAAAATAACTAGAATAGTGAAGAATCGATGGACAGTGTAACACTTACTGTCCTGACATGTCTGTCCATCTCAGAGAAAGGAAAAAAAAATGTTTAAAAATCCTTTGAGTGAGTCATTGGGGTGTGACTATAGATGGCTGGTTTTCACATACACGCAAATGGAACAAAAGAACAAATTTAGAAATAATAAATGTTCCCCCAAAAAATGTATGACGATTAATAATAGCGATGCCAAATGAATATTTCCATTCTCCTGGTTTAATCTGGACTATGGACTATTCGATCTGGACTATTTAGTCTGTTCTGTTTGTTTTAGAGAAACATCCAGGGGGTCCCAGATGTCTAGTCTTGTATTCATTGCTTAAAAACTGGGTGGTAAAGTCCTCTGTTTCAGAAAGTGTGTGGCACACGTGGAAGGAAACGCTGGGTTTGTATGTACTAATTTTGAGCATTTATGCATTCCTTTTTATTTGTTTTTAAAAATGTGCTGATTATTAGACTATTATATATGTATTGTATGGTTTCCATATGCATGAAATTATGTCTTCTGTCTTTAAGGGCAGTTATATGTAATAGTGTATTTTTTTTTTAACCTTTCACTACATCCTCCCATATGAGTTAATTATTGATTCGAGGACTTTAATTTTGAATTAATCACATTTCTCTGTTTTATAGATATTTGTATGTAAGTTATTGCTATTCAGCACTAAATCCAAAAAGCATAATACACAAGAATGCATTTACACAATATTGCATACTGTTATTGCACATGAATTGCTGTATGTAAATATTTGCAAGAAATGCTCTTAAATACATTGTAATGTTGATGTTGATGACTCTCCTCTCTATAATGCTGAACTTGAAATGACAATATTTTGTCTGTGAATATTCTTCCCTCTCTCTCTTTCTCTCTTTCTCTCATACCTTTTCCAGCAGTGAGTTCTTGTTAAATATGACCCACCACAGGAATGTATCTCCAAGCCTCTGTGATTTCACCGTTTCCCGTTACATTTCTGTGTGAACACTGTAGTGACTGAAGTGTTTGCTTATTCACATGTTCAGACGGCATCTTCATATGGTTTCTGCACCCGTCCGATGTGATGAAGCCAAATTATTGTATTTGGACAGAGAGGTAGGTCCGGTAACCATAGTGATTACAGGTTTTTCACTGTGGATATGTCTTCAGAGCTGTTTGACTGAGAGGTGTGTAATTCTTAGTTGAAAAATGAAGGCATAGCTGGAAAATCTTCTTGGATTAAATTCAAATTTTGAAGAAAGCATGTGTCGATCATACATTAATGGCGTTTTGTGGCATCCATACGGTATTGTCCTTAAATGACTGGCGGTCCATGCTATAGTTCTGTAATTCAGTATGTTATATTTCCTCCAGAGTCTTCCCTAAATGCTTCCACCTGCCAGTTTTACCTTTCTCTTGGATCAGGAACGGATATTCCAGGCACAATATTATAATTGCATAATACAATACTGAGGCCTAATTACGCTGCTGGTTAGGGTAGTTTAAAAGCATGGTTTGGAACAGTATTCTGGGGATCAGTGTCCAAAATTCGACTTTTGCGAGTGACTATATCCCCATTTTGGTATTTTCGGGTAAAGTGTATTTATCGACTTTGGTTTGGATTCTTAGGCCCCTGACTTGAGTTTTTAACATTGCATTTTTTTTTCTGGCTGCCTCAACAGTGGAGTCAGGCTATGGTAAGGTTGTTGTTGTTTTTGCATTATCTACACTTATTTTAGGGAGAAATCTGTGGAAAGAGTTTATAAATTCCCAGAGAATACAACACTCTTAATGTTATCTGCATAATAAAAATGAACATTTTGTCATCATTACTTATCCTCAAGATGTTTCAAAACTGTATTTATTCTTCTGCTTGATACTTAGGAAGATATTTTGAAGAATGTTGGTAACCCATCAGTTGATTGACTTCCAAAGTAGGAAAAAAAATGATGGAAGCAATGGGGTCCAACAACAGTTTGGTTACCAACTGTAATAAGGTAAGTAATTCAGGGAACAAGGAGGCGGGAACCGGCGAAAGTAACCCCTCAAAGTTTACTGGTGTGCGCACACACTTAATCAGAACATAACATAAAAGTCCAGGCCCGGTCCCTCACTGTCACACCACCTCACAGGCTTTCTCGCTGGTCTCGACCTCGACGTCGTCCTGCTTGCCACACCGACATTCTTCAAAATATCTTCCTTTGTTATCAGCAGAAGAAAGAAATTCATACAGGTTTGAAACAACTTGAGAGTGAGTAAATGATGATAGAATCCCCCTCCTAAGTGAACTATTAGGGTGCTGTAGATCTTTGTAAATGTATCTTTTGCTGGATCTTTTGACAAAAAATATTAAGTCAATATTTTGACCTTTCCACAACAAAATTCAATGTAGTCTGTTTTAATCTGACTATGCATATTTAGTCTGTAAAAATAACGTTGATAATGATCATTGACATTCATTTTGTGCAGAAGTAAATTGTAATATTAGGTTTATGAGTAAATATGTCATATCTAGGCTATAGCCAGTATGTGTTTGGGTTAGTTGACCCACAAACAAAGTGCTTCAGTTTACCGTTCTTTATCCACTGTTGCCTCGGCTCAAGCAGTTCAAGCCCCTACAATATTGATGATCTTTCTAGATTTTTCTTCATCAAGAAACATTGTTAGTGCATTGTTAATAGCGTTGTTTGTTTTTTTCTCATCTCATATATATTTTTCTTTACATATTCTTTGACTCAATGACCATTTTTGTCAGTAATTTAGCTTTATTTTTTTTTATCAATGACCGTTTTGTTAGTAATTTAACTTTATTTTTTTTATCAATGACCATTTTTGTCAGTAATTTATCCAGCGTTGTTTTTTTTTCTCATCTCATATACATTTTTCTTATATTCTTTGACTCAATTACCATTTTTGTCAGTAATTTAGCTAAATTTATTTTTATCAATGACCAGTTTTTTCAGTAATTTAGCTGGTGAGATTAACACTGCTGGCGTTTGAATCTGTGTCGCCTTCTATGAAGACTGTCTGTGGGTTCTGTTTTCCAGACACTGTTCGCTCATTACACCAAACTGAGCGTTTATATCTGTACATTTCTGTCTAGGCCATCAGCTCATGTCTCATTAACCATAATCTTTTATGCTTTCTTTCCCCCTCTCTCTCGTGCATGGCTCAGTGCTCAGACGGCCTCTCTGAGGGCTCATCGCACTGTCCTGCATGAGATCATTATGAGACTGCAATAGTGGTTTCAAAAGGTGTCGAGTTCCCGAAAAATCACTGCGTTTGGCCTACTCACACGCCCTGCTCTCGTTATCAGTTTGATAGATTTGCCGTGTCTGTCGGGGGAACACAGCCAAAGCAGTTGTGGGTCGGAGGATGGCTTGCGGAAAGTGCACGAAGGGTCAGGGTTTAGCCATGATTTGGGAATCTGTATTTCACTCTAGAGGCACATTTAGCGCATCGTGCTGTGTATAAACCAAAGGAACATTTTCATTAGAGTTATACGGTAACTGCATCTTAATGTGTGGTGAAATGCAGGGTTTCTTTGTACCACGGATCCTCTAGTTATTGATGGCATATTTGGCTAGATTTTAAGTCTCAGTTAAGCGTGACATTGGTCTGAAAAGCAATTTGCTTGGCTGCAATCCATTTTCAAATCCAGAATGGGACTCTATCAGGATCTGAAACAGTATTTATGTTAAGGATCAAGTTGATTAGAAAAGTCTGTGTAAGACGTGTCATTTTTTGCAATAATCCTCTGCGACTGTCATAATCAATTGCTTTCAAGTGTTTAAAATGCAGGACCTGTTAGAATAACCACAGTTTATTCTTTCTTGATGATTAGCTTTTCTGACTAGTTGGCATTGGCAATGTACCTTGGAAGTTCTTATTGGTCATAGTGCAGTTCCTTTATAGTCAACCTGAACTTGCAAGCTGTGTGTGGCCTTTCAATGACAGTCTCAATACAAAATTGTTCTTTTAACAAGTTTTGGTTGGATGTAGGCCTAATAACTTTCAGTATCACTACAACATTGGAAAAACATTACAAATTATTATACTGTGCCTCAACAAGTCAAAAACATTAAAAACAGCAGTGTTGGGTTTAATTAATCACTAAGTAATCTAATAATTGCAATTTAATTACTTTTCTCTTAAAAAGTAAAGTATGGGATTGCACTTATTTTTTTCAGTTTTTTAATAAGTTTCTTCTGATATAATTGCATTGAATACTGTGTAGAGTAGACTATAGAACAATTCTATATAAAACAGTGTATTTAACATCAATTTAATGTTTTAAAATCTGTTTTTATGTAACCTCTCTTTAAATACTCTGCTCAGTTCAAGAACAATATATGCAATTGTATATTGTTTATTTGAAAGAATCAAACTTTTTTGTCTATTGTATGGTTAACTGTCCGACAGTGATATGGGATTTAGAAATAAGTAATGCAATATTTTTACAGAGAGAATAGTAATCTAATTACACTGTTGAAGTTACTAGCTACTGTGTAATTAGTAGCTAGTAATTAATTAATTCTTAGAGTATCTTACCCAACACTGCTTAGCAGTCATTTCAGATATATGACTTTTAGAGCAAAGGACTATAAATGCATCTCTTTATTGCACTTTATTTATTTTTTTGACTGCTGCTGACCAACCAATTCACCCTTTGCGTGGAGCTTGATTGACAGGTATGGAAGCAAATAAGAGACATAACTATTCACCCCTTTTGAAATTATTTTACTATGGAAACCATGTATCTGAATTTATTTGTTTCGAATTTACCTCTGAAATTTAAACAGGCCTATAAAAATTCTCTTGATTTCTATTTTAAAAACCTGACTTTCAATTAATATTTTTCAATGCTCACAAATTCAGACACAAAAAAATCAACTATTAGAATTTCAGATAAAATGCATTCAGGTTGATCAAATTCGACTGCCCAAATTCAGATCTCAAATTCGACTGTTCAAATTCATATCTCAAATTCAACTGCTCAAATTCAGATCTCAAATTCAACTGCTCAAATTCAACTGCTCAAATTCAATCTGAAATTCAACTGCTCAAATTCAAATCTCAACTTCAACTGCTCAAATTCAGATGTCAACTGTTTAACTGCTCAAATTCAGATCTCAAATTCGACTGCTCGAACTCAAGTTGAGATCTGAATTTGAGCAGTCGAATTTGAGATCTGAATTTGAACAGTTGAATAGTTGAGATCTGAATTTGAGCAGTTGAATTTGAGATCTGAATTTGGGCAGTTGAATTTGATATTTGAATTTGGGCAGTCAAATTTGATATCTGAATTTGAGCAGTTGAATTTGAGATCTGAATTTGGGCAGTTGAATTTGATATTTGAATTTGGGCAGTCAAATTTGATATCTGAATTTGAGCAGTCGAATTTGAGATCTGAATTTGGCAGTCGAATTTGACATCTGAATTTGAGCAGTCGAATTTGAGATCTGAATTGAATTCGAGATCTGAATTTGAGCAGTTGAATTTGAGATCTGAATTTGAACAGTCGAATTTGAGATCTGAATTTGAACAGTCGAATTTGAGATCTGAATTTGAGATCTGAATTTGAGATCTAAAATTCGACTGCCAAATTCAGATCTCAAATACGACTGTTCAAATTCAACTGCTCAAATTCAGATCTCGAATTCAATTCAGATCTCAAATTCGACTCAAATTCAGATATCGACTGCTCAATTCAATTCAGATATCAAATTCGACTGCTCAAATTCAGGTATCAAATTCGACTGCCCAAATTCAGATATCAAATTCGACTGCCCAAATTCAGATATCAAATTCGGCTGCTCAAATTCAGATCTCAAATTCAGATCTCAAATTCGACTGCCCAAATTCAGATCTCAAATTCAAGTTAAATATTCACATGGTAACATTCGGGGAATAGTTATGTCTCTTATTTGCTTCCATAGTAGGCGATCTAACCAATCATAGCGTTGATATTTTGTGACCCCGTGACTATCCGCCATTTTGTCCGACAAACAAACCAGTCCGATAAACCAGGCGTAGTTGACTAGCAAAGGCGATTAACAAAGATAATGGTGAAATGGTGTTCATATGGTACTTGCAACACAGGCAACAGCTACCCAGAAAGGCTGAGCAATCTACAGTTTCACCCGTTCCCTAAACCTGTCAGTAACCTGGAGAGATGTTTGAAATGGATACGTTTGTCTGGACGTTACAGCACACTAATAATGTCAGAGTAATTACTGTAGCTAAGGCTTGCTATACTGG